GTAGTAGTTTTTTGAGATGGCTTGTTTTGCTGCAGGGCTGGGGATAAAACATTGATAAAAAGAAAGAACAGAAGAAAAGAAGGAAGAAAGAAAGAAAACTTTACCGGAATGTAAAAACGTAATATGTTATATTGTTGAAAACAATAACAATAAAGTGTCTTAATTCTTGTTACTATTAGCCTACAGTTGTTATTTTAGGGGTTTAGATTAACCTTTATCACCAGACTCTATGGGCACAAAGTTAAGGGTACCCATCGCCTTTCTGTTTACATGGGGTTTTTAAAGAGAGCCATAAACGGTTATTTTTGTTTGTTTGTTTGTTTGTTTGTTTGTTTGGGGGAGGTTGGGCTGATGGAGTATGCCAGTTAAACGTGTCTCATAGGGGCCGTGATAAGATAAAATATTCTAACCCCTTGATATTATTGTTATAATTATTTGCATTTTAATTTGGGGAGAGACTGCATGTAAACTCTGCGATAAATGATGAAACATAAAAAGATTCACCTATAGTTTCATATACCCTTTACAATAAAAAAAAAAAGAAACACGTGGAATAAAGTCGAGAATTTCTTTGATTCTGAATGATTCTTGACATTTCCTTGGCATTTTCTTGTCTCTTACGGGTCACCTCCTTATAATATTATAAAACCATATAAGCTGGAAGACAAAATATATAAAACTTTAGGAAACATTTGTTAGAGAATCTGCAGGTAAACGTCGATATTTACGGTGTTACAGAAGTATTGCTTGAACGATAGTATTTAGGATTTATGATAATTTGTAGTTTCAGTTGAGGATACTTAGACATTTTTCCCTCCAGCTCATTTATGCAATTTTAAATGCAGAACAACACATAAACCATGTATTCAGCCTTATTTCCTCTGGCTTTTTAAATGTGCTCTAAGCCACCACTTCCCAACGTTAGGAAAATGATCAGATAGCATTACTGAAAATCAAAAGCTGTTAGCCTCTGACACATATATCTCCTGCAAGAAAGGGGATATTGTGTTCTATGTGTGGGCAGACTGTCGGGTCGATATCCCGGGATTATCTCTCTTCTAATCATAAACGCTGCGAGGGAACCTTAATGGGGGAAAATGCAAAGCGGCATCTGTTGCTTCCCACGGTTGCAGTTTTAAAAAACAGATAGATAGGTAGATAGGTAGATTTTTCAATTTTAAGGACATGAGGTCAAAGTTCATCCAAGTGATTATTGCCGATTTTTTGTTTCTTTTTAAGAAAAGCTCCGCACGCAGTCCAATGTTTTGTAAAAACATCACTCGAAGCATGTGGCATGTGGCCATGGCAGGCAAAGCTGGGCGAAATTTAGACGTGCTTCTCCAACTGGGAACCCTGACGTTCGAGTGATGACACCTTATCTTTCTGCGCTCAGTCCGGGAGAACAAAAGTACCGTAGTGTTTGGAGTAGGAAAAAAACAGAACTGGAAACGACCGCTGAAAGAAGACACTTTGTTTGAACAGCTTCAGCCGCGCAACACCTCCAGCCTCCCTCCCGCCCCCTCCTCCCCTCTGCTGCCTGATCAGTTCGTGCAGAATAAACCTAAAAAAAACATCTTTTCTGCCTTTCATATTTCCATCATAAGGCTTTAGTACCTCCCCTATTTCAGGTTTCGACAGGCTGGCGCGTGCTGTGTATTTTCTGGTGTCTTCTGTATCTTCATATCAGAATATAACAGCAGCTTATAGTTTCATAATTTTCTTACATATTGCGTGTTTATATTGATAAATGTTACACATTATGCCTGATATACTATAATATTATTTTACAATATTACTCGCATTTTAAAAACAAAAACGATGCCAGCCTATAGTTCACAGTTAAGTGGGTGTTTTGGTTCACATGTTAATGGGTTGCAAACATTTTTTTTCATATTTGAAACAAGGGCGAAACACTCTTTTATTCGTTAATAAGTTATCCTGTATGCCCAGGTGGCTCTAATGGGAGTGCAAATATGAGAAGTGCTCTCAGAGAGTGCGCGAACTGTCTGTAAATGTGAAATATCGGTCACAGCTTCCTGGGAACAGCTTCCTGCGCCTGAAGGTCAATTACATATTCAACACAAAGCCCACAGGTTGTAATTAACAAGGATTTAAGTACACATGGGTCTATTCACAACAAGCCCAAAACAGCGGCTTTTGAGGAGACATAACACTGAATGTTTGGCCTTTCACCAAACCAACCCTACAACCCTACAAAGAGCTGTGATTTTCGTCTCCTCGTTCTTTCACTCTCTTGTTTCCCATAAGGCTTGAAATGTGAACTTGAACTGGTATTATGAGTGCGCCATGTGTGCCCGGGAAGTGGAGGCTATTAAACTTTTTTTGTTGTTGTTTGGATGGGGTTTTATTTTTAACAGAAGATGAAAAATCTGCCAGCATTGAAGAACACGCCTGTAACGAGGCGCACTGACGTGATTCTGCTAGGCTGGCTTATGGGGGTAAAGACCCACCAAAGCAACAGATGAGGGAGGAAAAACTGTTCGACAGATGTATCTTGTCCTGGTTTCTTCATCTGTAGGGTATTTAATCGCCTGCCAATTCACAATGTAAACAACACCGTAAAATAGAAGCGAATGCCACTTTGCCCCAAGACCAAAATTCTGAAACAATCAGGAGAGAATGCTGAGTCCTGGCCTCGTAAAGATCACATCCATGCAATTTCACAGCAAAAGGCATGTACTAAGCAGAGCTGTTCTGACCTGAGATCAGTTTTAGCTGTTATTATTGCATCTCCGCACTGTCATTAGCGCAAAAGGCATTTTACACACGCGTTTTGCCCGATTTAGTGAATGGTAGGGTGGTGATTTTTATTCATTCTGTTTGTTTTTCTTGATTAAAACAAGAAGCAAAAAACAGAAAAGCCAAAATACGGACTCTTTGGTGTTTAAAACCGCAGACTTTGTATTAAACATTAAATACTTAGTAGCGATTATTTATTTATTATAATCATTGTTTATATGTTTATATATTGTTGGACTCTTTTCCACAACTTTCACTAACTGTGCGATATAAAACAGCATTTTTTTTTTCAATTTTCGAATGAAACAGTCTGATTTGAAAGTTTCTCAGCTGTTAAACTGAAATTGAAAAAGTTATTTTCTCTTTTTAAAAATTGATTTATCAGCTCTGCATTCGAGCCGTCCTTTACTCATAATATCACAAAAACAAGTAACGGCGCAAAAAACAACGCGTTACCCTATTAATCAATAAGCACTGATTGTTATTGATGCTGTCACACTCTTTAAAGTACCTAAGAGTTTCATTAAAAATATATCATCTCCACGTGTAGATTTTTATGTTTATCTATTATTTTATAGCGCAGATTAGGAGGATACATTTCCATTACAATTTCAGCAATCTGAGAAGAAGCGCTGTCGTCATTTAGGACTTTAAGTGACGATTTCTTTCAAAATTCATCATCGACTGAGATTTTGTAATGAAATATCCTTCAGATAAACACGCGATAAAGATGTTCTGCTCGTGTATTAGCAAACTATTGAGAAGATAAAACCGCTGAATTATTATTGTATGAGTTATAATTAAATACTGCGAAAATGTATTTTGTTACTATAAAAAACAACCGAAGCTTTAAGATTTAGATTTTTGTTCTGCATTTCTGTCTCTTCTATGTGGATGTGTTAACCCAACCTATTTAATCCACATACTTCACCAAATCTGAATATAAAAGGTTTCTTTCAATACACATTTAATCCGGAACCTTTTGTTAAGTGATGTTAACACACTTAATAGAAATGTCAGCTACAGAAACGGTGGTTATAATGTGACACGTTATTGGCCCCAGTGGGGAAATTCTCTTTTCACTTAGACCCCCTTCAGGGAGGTCAGAGGTCAAACTTTTATGGCAGCGGCCTCAGAGCTGGAAGGGATTCACTTTTGTTGCTCAAGGAAACTTCAGCAGAGCAGACAGGCTTAGACTCAGGTCCTCTGAGTCATGAGCACTTTTAAAATGACCCTCAAAAAAATTCCGGACAAAATGTGCAGCAAATGATGACAATTTGAAAGGTTTTGTGTGATATGAGGAAGACAAAATACAGAACTAATATATTGAAACAAAGGATCCCATTAATGTAACCAGTTAATAATTCACCCCACTTGTTGACTGCAACGGTTCGTAGCTGTCCTAACAAGTGTGTTAGACAGCTGGGTTTTACATTACTGATACACTGCCACTGTAATGTGGAGTCTAAATCAGACAGCAGAAAGAAATATCAATTGCATACACAATTACATCTTTCTTCTAATATGCACAGAAACAAGAAAAAAAAAGTTAAATCTTTATTTGAGCATCCATATGTTTTGAATGAAGTTATAATCATTAAAAGTTATTATTACATTTTGCATACAGGTCTGAATTCTTTTCAGAGTCTAGTCTTTTTGATTGAGTTTAGTATATATATTTTTAGTGGATACATAGTGTACACCATATGGTTCACATCTAACAAGTAAATGATCCCTTTATTGATCCTGAGGAGACACAAATCCCTCGGTGGTTACATCAGGAAGGACATCCTAAGTAAAAATCTGTCAAATAAAATATACTGCACTACCTGCTGAGGTGGCTCTTTCTGAATAGGACAAGAGCCGAAAGTAACTTTACTGGATCTAAACTGTCAGACTCAGTTAATAGTTAGAGAAGAGGACATACTCTTCCCTCTCTTCTTGTTATAGATAACGTCAGACTGTTCATCAGTGCACACAAAAGAGTCACGTGGAATGGGAAGAACATATTTCAGAATGAAATTCCTCTTTCATAATCTGAAAACCACCATTAAAAAATGAATGCAAACATGTGTCAATGTCAGGAAGAGGAGAAGCTGGGAAAAAAATTGAAAAATAGAA